TTTGTGTAAATTTACTACTGGTAATGTAACACCTAGCAGTATTTTGTGATGACTCAATATTATACATTAACCCTCTGAGGACAAAGATCATAATCATAATGCTTTAGAGAGTCATTTTCAAAACATAATTAAGCAACTTTATTATCAATTGCATTTCAATAAAATTGGTATCAAAATGTAGTTTATAACTGAAGCTTTAATGTTACATGTGCTTTAATCTTTAATTCTAAAGACAACATTAAAAACAATATGCTAAATATCCTATTTTGTTTGTAACATAGCACATCCTCTTGTTTTATTGTTCAGTTCATATTTCATCACACCTTCCATACAATGTCTATAGTGGTTAAGGAATTAGAAACTCAAACTTCAGACACAATCAATCTAGAATGTAAAATAAAAACCTTGCACATTTTTAAATTGCTGAGATATCATTATATTTTGAAAACCGATAAGGGTGGTTCCACCCACTACTCCATTCTTTTGAAACTGCTTGTCCACTCACACCCACTTCTTTTAAGTACATGTTTATAACCAATAGAAAAAGCATATTCCAAAATATGAAAATGTGACAGACGTTTTTATTGGTTTGAAGGGGAAAGACATAGTTTTACTGAAAATGTTAATCTGTTGACTAAGCCATTGCTCTGAACAGAAATGAGATTTTTTAACCCACATATAGCTTAGTTAGAGAGCCAGATAAATTTCAGTGATTCTATATGTACCATTATTGTAATTTGATAAATTCATCATTGAAATCTACAAATATTAATTTCTCTTCCCTTCTACTGGAGAAAATAAACGAGGCTTCGCAAGCAAGACACACAATTACAAATTGACTTCATCACATCAAAAGTACAAAAAGTCATTAATTTCTTTATATTTTTCTATTTTTGAAAGGAAAATAATTAAAAACTTACTATTTAAGAGTAAATTGTAATAATATACATATATACACATACACACACACACACACACACATTCATTCATATGCACTGACATACTGCACTAAACCACTAAATTCTGGCAACCACTGGAAAATAACTAACATCCAAACACCTACCAAGTTTATTGGATCGGCCAAGACTTTCTACAGAGCCATATCAAACATTTATCGTACAATTATTATCTTAGATACTTTAGATAATGTTCATTACAACAATTCTAATGTAAGCAAATAGATAAATCTTCTCCCACTGTGTTCTCAGAGCTGGAATTGTAATAAACTCTGTAGAAAATGTCTGTTAATTGCAACGCACAAGCTTGTTTGCCATCGTCCATGTCATGTAAAAAGTCTAATGGCAGGAGCTGTGATTCATTGCTTCATGTTCAGCAGGTTTCTACATCAGCCACTAACAGTACAATAAACATAGGAAATAAATGTGAAAAATTTAGAAGCACAAACTCTCAGGAGGAGTACATTCGAACTTTGTGGACAACACCGAAAAGGATAGAACAGTACTGTTCATTTTATTTTGCATTTTTTAACTTATAAAGTTTTATGGTGGTTACTAAGTCAATCAAATTGACCAATCCACATAGATTTAAGGTAGGGAAAATAACGGATAAATTATACAGCTTTTCTGAAAGAAAAAAAAAGTCAAATATTTATTTAGGAATTATTACTTTGCACTAGGAGCAGTCAACACTGATTTCATTTAATCACAGACAAATGTTTAATAAATATATAGAATTAAAAACTGATTTTTTAAATCTATAACAGACTTGTAGTGTTTAGTAGAAGCTTGATAAACTTTATCAAGATACATAAAGTTTGTTTATGTTTAGAGTTATAGGTATGAAAACTCTGATGGTTACTTTGGGGTTCATGAGATCGGTGAAATCCACAGAGCCTGTAGTGACAGAGATAAGTTCTGAGAGAAAACAATTAACACTTACAGAGAAAATAAACTTACACTATGGATAAACTGTATGCTATCATATGACACTAGATCACACTATAATGAAGTAACAGAGGAACAAAGTGCAGAAAAGTAAAATATGTTATCTGCTCATATTAAGCTGAAAAATTGTAAAACTAAGGCTTGGAAATCTAACTTGAATACGTAATATATGTAAAAATTTCTGTCTTACTGCTTGCTTGACCACCACGTACAAAATCTTCATGTCGTTGATTGAAAATCTACAAAAACAAATAGGAAAAATGTAGTTTATTCTTAAATTTATAGATCAATTTAATTGTTTAAAAACCAGTGACCGTTAAACAGTTTCAGATACAGATATTTTGATTTAGTCATGCAATGAGAACTGAGAAAAATATTTCCTAAAATGTTTTATACAATAAAAATATTAGGTTTTACAAAAGATGGAACAGGTAAATACAATACCTGAGCACATCTACTTTCAAGACATATATGTGTACATTCATGCTAAAGGCAAAGTTAAAATGTGTCAACTAGAATTAGATTACTAAATTTTGTAACATTTAAATCATATCATGTTTAAAAAAAATATTTTATTTAAACAGGTTACATCAATATCATATGCACAATTCATTGAAAATATTTACATATTAGTGAAAGTAACACATTTAATATAGAGAGCCAATCCATTAACCAGCAATTAACACAACAATACCAGAGTGATCAGTGATTATAAGCATATTACACTGTTTGACATGGATAGTTTCAACTATTATGTACATTAGGATTCTTCATTTTGTAACTGTAATCATGGATATATAAAAAAACAACACCAATTTCAAGCTACAGTAAACTACTTGGGTGTTGTTTCTAGAAGGATCATGACTTATCGGGGAACCTCACGAATATCCCAGCATTTGCTAGATGCCCTCTTTTTTAGTATATAAGCCAGCGATAGATCGAAAAGAGAGAATTGGCAGATAGATTGTAGATAGAGATAATTGAGTCAAGGGAACAGTAGGCACCATAAGTAAAGTGTGTGAATCACTGTGATTTATAGCGTGTGTTATAAAGGTTGTTAAGTTTAAAGTGACTGTGGAAATTAAGTGTATTACAAAGTTTGTAACGAGAAAGAATAAACTAGTTTTAATTAAGAAAGGACTTGTATCGCTGAAGTTCCTTGGAAAGAATTTATACCGGAAATTAACAAACAAGCAGATATGTAACAATACTTACTTTCCCATCATGGACTTCCTGAAGAAATGATAAACTTTTGTTAAAGATACACCGCAGTTGCTCATCTGTCATTTCCTTGATATTCCTGAAGTTAGAAACTGTTTTCACTAACTTTTTCTCAATTCAATCAATTACATAGAAATAAAACTAGTTATTATTTGTCTAATAATAAATAGTCATAATTCTAGTAAACATCCTTTAAATGTGAACAACCTCCTTCACTTCTTGTTTTAAGTGGAAATTAAGAAAAAAGAAACCAAAAGCTTCCATTAATGATTCAAATAATAACCTGCACTGTAATATGATGAGTTATAAAGTACAATAAAAATGGATATCCATACACTTTCACCTATTGTAATAAATGGGTTATTCCTCATGACATAATAAGGTAGAACATAACCAATGTTTGGTATAGTTAGTAACTTATCAAGATATAATGTAGAGGATATCCAATATTTATTGTAGTTAGAAATTTCATCCATGGAGGTTATGTGGTCCTTCTCACAGCATCAGAGTTTAACTTCTAAGGTTGCCATGTATCTGTCTCAGTCTTTGCATAGTCCTATATTTGACATTTATCAATGGCAATGGCATACATACAGATAGTGGTGTTTGGAGAGGAGAATGAATCCATTTCATCCAGAAATGGCAACCATAATTCGTTTTTTGACCTGGATTTTTCACAAGGGTTTTGCATCTTCCACAATCGTTTTATATAAGCTAACCTTATCGACTACCTTTAGATACGCAAGCCAGAAATTATTTAAGCCACTGGTGTTCTCTGGCTTCTTGGTCATTTCGGGTTCTTCTTCCCAAAGGACTGTTTCAGTTACCTAACTGGTATATTAAGGTGGTATTTCATGCTCTTTCTGTGCATCCATTTGAGACCTTAGCCTCATGTACCATGTATCACATTTCCATTAAGGTTTAATTTTTGTTGCTGCTGGCAAATTGTGCACAGGATGCTCTTTCATTCTACCTATGTTCTACTATACTCAGACAGATTCTTCTTCCCTAAGACACTGGCAGCCAGGGAAGGGGATAATACCTTTTCACCGACTCATCTGACCACAATTTTTCACATTTATGATCAATCGGATCTTGATCATTTGTGATGCTCATTGAGAGTCCTGAAGTGTCACGTGGTCCATATTACTGACTTTTTATTCATTGGGATTCTTCAGTTTCCTGGAACTTATTCCTAGTTATTTTTCAAGGTGGGAATGGAATTGATTCATATTGGTTATTGTGGGCTCTCTTTGGAGGGGAGTCACATCTCTTCAGATTCATTGCATTTCTATGTCCTTAGCGGCCTGGTTAAATTGTCTGCTGGAGGACATTGCGTGGGTTGGTATGTGGACCTCCTCCATATACTTATATCTCACATTATTTGCATGATCTGGCAGTATCTTCTCTGAGGGTTTTTGACTACCTTCGCATCCGCTAGATTATAAGAAGGTTTTAGTATCTTTATTACTAATAGTGTCTTTTCGTTATTTACCAGGATCACTTTCTTCTTTTTTACAGGATCACATTGTACCCTCTTTGTTTCCTACTAGTGGATCTAGGGAGTCCTCACCACACCCAGTTTCTAGTTCCTGGGATGGTGGACAGAGGCTATTCCTACACTCTTCGAGAGGAAGGCGAAGTTGGGGGCCCTCCGAACTGGGTCCTTGAATGTTTTTCCCATATGTTGATAGTAATTGCACCAGCCCACGCCGGAGCCTACTCATAAGACTGGTTCAGATTTGACAATCAGCTATCCAGTTGGGTTGAGCGTTGCCCTTCTTTTTTAGATCTAACAGTTCAGTACGTTGTTCGTGGAAGAGGTTCCATTGTCTCCTCATAATCCCGAATGCAGAGTTTGTTCGACATCCTTCCCATAATTCTGGGGGCAAGTAAAATATACCTTGTCCACACAGTTGGGGAGTGAGGATGAATGTTCATAATTCTGGACTGGATGAGTTCTGTTTCCTCTGGTTGAGTATGACATAAAGAATCTTGTCATTCTGAGTTTGGAGTGTTGCTTTTTGGACGTTTTCATGTTCAGGAGAGGGTTTATCCACTTGTGTGTTGCTTACCTTATCCTGATTCTGGTGGCTCGGAACTCATCACTGTATAGCTAGAAATTGGTATCCACTCCCAAATATATATTGTGGTCCAAATACCCTAGCCAGCAGTGTGGTAAATGCCACCCAAGTTGCACAATTTATGTTCTGGGTGAAGAGCATAACTGTTCTGGATCTAGTGCAGTTCCTCCACTTGGGTGCTATTGGCACACCCATCGTACTGGCACACCAATGATCTATGCACACACACCGGCCCCTCCATTTTATGAGTGTGGTATTCTAGCTGTAGTGTGTGAGAATAGGTATGTAGGTTTTGGAATTTAACATTTTCTTAAATCAAAAGTATATTTCTAATAATAATTACCTCCTTTCTACATTACTATTTGATAAGTTACTAACTGCAATAAACAGTGGTGATCCTGTATATTATTTGACAAGTTTCTAACTATAATAAACATTAGTAATCCTCAACATTATTACTTGATAAGTTACTAACTATAATAAATTAAGGGTATCCACTACATTATAAGTTGATAAGTTTTAGCTATAGTAAACATTGGTTATCCTTTACATCATATCCTGATAAGCTTCAGGACAGTTGAACGTACAATGTCAGATCTTGGCTGCCTCAACAAGATGGCTAAAGAGGAAGTGGAAGGCACTCTTGAAGGTACTGCAGAAGTAGAAACCAGGGTTTAGCCACCAATCTGGTGCTATTAACAGGACCAACAATTAATTGGTGATCATCAGTGTTCCAAACTGTGAGCAAATCCAATGGAAAACCTTGCAATGCAGCATCCATTCTATCGGGAAAATCTATTTGGGTAGAGACAATTGATCTGCCACCAAATTCATCACTCCCAGAACATGACAAGTTAGGAGTGGGCCCAAGAAAGAAGACCCCAGTTTCGAAAACAGAGAGACCTGGATCAAGTGCCCCTTTGACAGGAAATGGAAGACATTACTGTGGGATTGTCGAAGTGAAGCCTGACGATTTTTCTCCTTAACAAGTCCAGACTGTGAGACACCACCCTTTCAAAACCAAGAAGTTCTAAAACATTGTGTGGGAAAGCCTTGTCATCCATCCATAGGCCCTGGAATTTCTGAACATTGAGACATACACCCCATTCCTGAAGAGAGGCATCTGTAAAGAAATGGATCTCTGGATGAGGTGGTGGTAGAGGAACATTTATCATAGTATTGTTCCGATCTAACTATGCTTGAGATTGAAAATGATGAACCTGAATAAGGAAACTGGGGAATCCAGTGAATTGTTGTTCATGATCCATTGGTTGAATAGAGACCACTGTGTGCTCATCTCGAAGGAATAAGAAAAGATACCCAAATGGACAATATATTGTGTTGGAGTGAGAATAGATTTCTCAGCTCTGATAATGAAGCCTGCCTTCGTTGCTCTGAAAATAGAATCTGGGTGTGATGTTCTGCTAACCAATGAGATGGTGCCAGCAGTAACAAGTCAACCATAGAATGGTGTGTGCACAGGCCTAGGGAATGGATGTGATGAGAAAAAACTCATACAAATTGGCAGAACACATATGGAGCCAATGTTAGTCCAAAAAGCAGAGACCTGAACTGTAACACCTGACCCTTGTGCATAAAATGTAGATAGTGGCTTGATGCCACCACTACAGAAGTATGCACATAGGAGTTGGCAACATCGAACTTGGATATGTACCATCATGGTAGAAAATGCCAAGGTAGAGTGAGGAATGACTCCATTGTGAACCATTGAGTAACAACAAATTCATATAGGCAAGAAAGATTAATGACTGGACACCGATTTCTTGTTTTATTGGGCTCAATAAACAGACAGGAATAAAAACCATGGAAGAACTGGTACAACTCTCTCTATTGCCCCTTAGACCAACAAAACTCTGATAGCTCTAGAACGAAATTTTGAAATCCGAGTATCTGTGGGATACGCTACAGGTCAGACAGATAATAGTGGTGATAGTGTGAACTGAATGACTAATACTAAATCAAGGACCTGTAGTACTTATGGATCCATGTTAAAGGTTTTCCGCACATCCAGAATTTCTCAGAGCTGAGCCCCCACAGACCTCAAATGCATACAGTAGTCACCACCACCGCTGTGGGAATTACAGCTGAGCAACCTCATGGATAAGGATGGAATCTATTCTTGATATGAATGGACCAAAGGGCTGATGTCGAGGATCAGGACACTCTAATAGTTGCAGAACTATGACCCCTGTAGGAGACAAGGAAAGTCGACATGCCAACGACAGCAGCTATGAATGCAAACATGCAACATCAACCATTGATTTTGAAGACTAGAGTGCCCAGAAAATCAAGAGTCCAGAAAAGGGAGGCCTGTACTTCACACTTGTCTGACTACAGAAACACACAGGTACCTGTACTTCACTTGACTAACTATTCAAACACATATCTACATAAAATATCTGAACTTCACTTACTTCACTTGTTTAATTGATTCTTCATTATCTTTAGTGGCACATGTAACATCATCTTTACTGTCACTGATGTTAATTACTGGTATTTCTTTATCATCAACTGCTTTAAAATATGACGAAATCTCCTGGTTATGAAACTTGTCAAACTCCAGAAGTTTACGAATACTGAATCTTCGAAATTTTTTTAGTGGTTTCTCTGATAAAACTAAAGGCTCAGAATCAGCACTCAAACTTGTGTGAGAGTTCTTTTCACTAAGAATGGTTTTAGTTGCAGGTTTGTTAAAAACTAATTTAAGCAACTCTGAATCTGAGTGAGAAACTTGACTGAAATCTGGTGTTGATTGAGAATGAAGCAACTTTTTGGACCTCTGCAACTTTCGTTGAGGTAATTTTGCTCGAGACAGCTTATTTTCCTTAGATTTTAGTCCTAAATTATAACAAGTCTCTTCTCTATTATCAGCTGTAAACCCAGCTGCATTTAATAACTCTATTACTCTACTTTTTGGTGACTCATCAATTTCCATAATGCCATTTACTTGATTGTCTTTTAAGTTACCTGTTACAAGTGGACATGTTACTTCACATTTAGATTTAGTTTTATCCTCACCATATTTGATTTTCTTTTTTTTCTTTTTTTCACTTGAAACCTGGACATGAGGAATAGCTTTATTTTCAGAAACAAATGTCTTTTTCCCCTCTTTTTCCAATGAAAAGTTTAAATTTTCTTGCTTGGTTTTTTTGCTCACATTATCTTCTGTGCTATTTTTCCAGTATAACTGGTTGTTCATTTTGCTTGGTGGCTGAACCAGTTTTCTATAACACATTTCGGTTTCTGTTGGTGATTCTTTCCTATTCCTCTTTGGTGAGAGACATTTCACTTTGATTTTGTGTCTCGACAAATATTGCTCATTATATGATGTAAGACTTTCCTGAATTAATGGGGGTTTGCTGATACATCCTGCTGTATCCTTTAATTTCCTTAGGGTGAGATTATTATATTCTTGAGAAAAACAGATGCATTTTTCAGGATTTTGTCTTTTAC